AAGACGCTAGAAGTATATTTATTTATATTTATTTACATGTAAAAAAACTTGAAATCAGATCAATGAAATTCACATTCGACTTTATCCCAAAATATATGACGAATCATTCACCCTCCGCATGGTAATGGTATTTATCTGAAAGACAATGTTCAGTGCAATAGAATTGGTCCTTACAAAAAAAAAACTAGTTCTCGATTTAATACGATTATTTGTAATTGTCTAACATTCAAGTTGCTATGAAAATGATCAACTTGATCATGAGTTACACTTTTTATTATTCCTAACACTGGGCAATCCATAATACGCTTTTACCGAAGGCTTCGGTCTTTTTCACGAACAAAAACCTTCGACTTCACCATGTCAGGTTCAAAGAACCGTCAAGGATGTATTGCTGTTTTCCCATAACTTCTCATATTTTTAGCATCAATTTGATAAATTATTTAATAGAAATGCGGAAAATTAAAACGGAAAAAAAACGGAGTGACATTAACACGTCCTTAATTAAAAACGGAAAATGGAATTCGTAAGATAATAATTAATCTATAGTTTTTTTCAATAATAAAGAAAAATTCGTTTAATTGTGGTATCATCATGACTTATTTATCACTTGGTCATCAAAATTTGGAAGAATTGGTGAATTTTCATTTCTGTCCGTACGTGTGTACATTTGTTGAAATAACGATGGATCATAGATCGTGTTGGAAAATGTCGGGGAATCCAGTCAGCTAGGGGAAACGGATGTAACGGCTGGTCAGAATTTTAAATCTTTGATTGCTTGCGGCAAATCGGGCAGCTTCATGTCCTTAATTTGTTGTGGAATGTTCATGTTTTTCACTGCTGATACCGCTCGTGCTGGTGCGGCTGTTATTCCCGCCTTGACACAGAAAGAAATCAAAATTGTAAGAAAAAGAATTCGATTCACATTAAAAAAATTACAAATTATTGATTCGTACTCAATATATAGTTTTTTGGTGTTATTAGAACACATTTGTCTCGATAGTAAGATTGAGACTGTTAATTCAAAATTAAGATATATATTATATTATAAGATATTATAAGATATTTTATATTGGCTTATTTTATTTGCAGCAGCAGATAATCTTCTGGCAGATCTGGAAAAATGTTTCTTTTGTACTGCCAGATGATCAAAATTTTATAATTTTCAACTGCAATTTATTAATAACAAGGATAATCCGAAGTAAAATTGTTTCAAGCGAAGAAGTTCGTCTTGAGTGGTAATTCTTCCAAAGCTGAATAATTTTTAACTAGGTAATGATTATAAATATTCATCAACTAGTAAGCATTCAGAAAAAGGTACAATTTATATTAACTCGGTTCACCTACCAAATTTAATGACATACAATTGATGTCTGGGAAATAGATTTAGAAAGAATTGCTGTAATTGCTAGTTTTTGAATATATAATCAATGGTACAAGAATGTAAATAAAAAATCTGAACAGGAATTCCCAAGAAGTACAAGATGCATCCTTTTATCATGTCATTCCATTTTGTAGGAAAATAAAGACTCACGGTACTGGATCTCACCTCTTGTTTCTCCAATCTATTTTGGTCTTCAATCCTTGTTAAAATCTCGGTCATATTAGTCTCCAGCACCATTCCACCCATCACTAACTCATTAAGAATGTAATGAACTTTATCAACATGAAAAATCAAATCCAATTCACAGACATTCTCAAAACATTTATCAAGAGTTTCTACGAAGACTTGAATTAAATCCAATATTCCGAGTTCTGATTCTGATGAATCAACACAAAAGACGAAATAAAGAGTAGCGTAATGCCTATAAATGAGTTTATAGTCAGAACCGCCTATCAAGCTCCCACCTTCCAAGAAATTGCAGACATTGTCATCTCTTTTGGAGACTAATTGGAAGGTTTCTTTTATTATTTGTTGTTGCATGTCTTCATTCTGAAAAACATAAATAAATCAGTTAGAAAAAAAGTATTATTTTTATCATAGCGCATTTTTGTTTTTGCTTTGCAATGCATGCCCCGTAGTTCAATTTTAAGTTCCCAGTTTAATTTTGATGTTCTTCAGGGCATTTTCACTGATAGATTGGAATTATCTCATCGACAGCTGAATTAATTAAGGGTTGCAATACTTTACCAGCCATATTGATTAAAAAAATTGTAAAAAATTGAACAATACAATTGTTAGATTGAACTTTTTTCAATGAATATCAAAATTGCCATCAGAATATCATTTTTTAAAATCTTTTATTGAAAATTATTGTCCAACTCAAACACACGACCGCAAATAGATTCTGTCAACTCAATCCATAGCAGAGCCATTGAAGTTTAAATTCTTATCTGTCAAAAAAAATGTCATCCTGATCGTGAGCCATTAGCAATGATTGTTTCTTAATTTATCAGATCTTTCGATAAAACCATGAGCTCTAACATAATTTAGTAGTACAACACTGGTGTAATATTAATGGCCACGAAAAATATAAATATTCTATACAACTAAAATTTAACTTTCTTAAAATATTATTTGATTTATAAATTTCCGTAAAAACGTAAAACTTCAAACTTGTCTGTAATTCCCAAGATGACATGAGAAAATATGGAACAGCGTATGCAAAGAATTAGCAGACGTGGACTCTTAATATTTACTTACGAAATAATGATAAAACTTTGACAGTCGAGGTTTTCCATGATTATTGAACACTAAAATTGCCTTTATCATTTTATATATTTTTAAACGTGCACTCTGTAATGATAAACATGTAATTGTACAATTGGCTCTTCTCCGGATTCCAATTCGTCTTTCAACTTTGTAGGTTAGACTTGGAACCTATGATTCGAGTGGAGTGTGAAAATGATTGTATTCTATCCTAGGTTTTAAAGCCAT